CTATTCGTGGCAGCCACCTATAGGCTCTCACTCCGACCAGTAGAAAATGGGCGCAAACTACATGAAAACTGCCGTAGAAACGTGAAAAAATCGATTATTTCCACCATCGATGGGAGTTGGGAAATGCAAAGTCGGTCTTGGCCTTCCAGCTAACTTGGAGAATGTGCATGTAAATTTTGGTGCAAATGCGTCGAAAATTGCGGCCATGCATTTGTTACACACACACACACACACACATCCTGCCTTTTATAGATAGAGATTATTCAGTTGACAATTGAATACATGATAGCTGATACTTTTGTGCACATATATGTTTGTGTAAAAATAATTACTAGAGGCAGTGATAAGTGTGGTTTATACTGTAGTTTTGTTGAAGTTATATTTTGGAATACAGTCTGATTTCTTTACGAAATTGTAGGTTATTGTATGGATTAAAATCATGAAAGAGTTCCTCCATGTTGACTGATGTATTATTGGTAATTTTACTATGAATAGGTACTGTCGGTAATTTTAATGTATTGCTTGTAATTTTGTATAAGTATGTATTTTTTTGGCAATTTTTATATAAAATTGTATTGCTGGTATTTTTACTATAAAAATGTATTTTTATACATTCATAGTATTCACTGTTTGCCCATAGCTGGGACCCTAACAGAGCCCCTGCTACCGAATGTAGTTTATCGTCATAACCAGGACTAATGATTTTGAAGATCAAATCATCTACAACTGATTCTAATCGTACTATTTTGATCACCGTACCGTGAGATCTGATTTTACAGAAACTGTAAAATGAATATCAGGAAATATAAAACATTTAAATTGGAAATTTAAGTTGCTACAAAATTGTATAAAATATTAACTGCTACTGAAGTGTGATACATCGTGATTTTTTTTTTTTTTTTTTTGTAGCATGAAGCTTATGGTTTAAGACAATGTCATTGTCCTAAAGATTAAAATCGATATGTGAAAATATTCCGGATCAAGTAACACTCGGTCGGGAGGTAGGGAATTCCGGTTACGGCTTTGTATAGACAGGCTGCATTCTAAATAATGTCCGTCGGAATCAGAGTCACGGTGAGAGTGAGAAGATCGAGGAGGCGTCGATCACGAGGCAAAAATCAAGATTATAGTAAGACAAGATGGGGATTCAGGTAGAGGAGGGAATTCACGTTGTCCGAAATGAAGATTTGGTTCATTAGACTGATCTGAGATGAGACAGAAGTTGCAGCAAAATCTGCTAGATCGTTCTACTTAGGAAAAAGAAAAGTTTATCTGACTTTGAAGGGCTGTTTCGCTTATGAATACAGACGTACCCCAAAATAACAGAATAAAGTTTAGTAAATACAAGACTAGACAAAATATTTCATGGCGGAAAACACATAAAATAAAAAAGTATTACCATTATCATTATTATTATTATTATTAATTGTTGTGGCCTTGTTAGGGCCAGAAATAAACACACGAGAGAGGAACTGAGTTAAACAAATATATTAACAGAAACAGTAATACAAACATATACAAACGAGAGTGTTACAGCAAGAATGTTCGGTCCGATTGTCAGAGCTGACTGCTGGAAACTTCCCTCTCCAAAAGGCAGTACCTGCTCCTATTTATAGCTGGGAGAGTCCATCCATGCGTGGGTAAATTACAATAATGATAATAATATTTTTAATACACGAAACAATTATTCTTTTATTTTATGTGACAATTAAGGATGTGTGTGATCATGGCTCTCTACTACTTTCTAGCCTCTGCAGGTCTAAGCAATGTTTCTCCCCTATCACTCCCAGCCGCTGTTCTGCAATCTACATGCATAAACTCTGCCTGATTCTAAATAACAGCGTCCTTTTTGTTCCCATTGTCCTTAGAACTTCCTCGTTGCTCCGTCCATTGAATTCTCAGCATCGTTCTGTAGAACCGCATCTCTATTAACTATTCCGCGCATGTCGGTGCCTTACGGTACGTTTTAAGCGACTCTCTCCCCACTTACAAGATTGCCGTAACACAATCTCCCTGTTTTCTATTCTCGTCGTTAGGAATTGGATAAACTAAACACGGCTGAGTAAATATTGACTGTCTGCTTGCGCATGCGCGTCTGAATACTAAAATTAAATCCAACGTTTTGTCTCGTGTGCAATGATGCAGTAAAAACAAAACGGTTGAATGAAGATGCAACATGGCTGGATTTTCTCTTCGTCCTTCTCCCTCGCCATGAGATTTCGCATCAGTTAAGCGACAAAATAGAATTTCGCCCTAATTCTCCGTTTTTTTTTTTTTTCCTTTTCATTTTTTTCTTTTCTTTTTTTTTTCTCGACATTCCAGAAAAAGCACTGGACCAATTCCACCAGATTAAATTCTCACAATGATGAGTATTGGCATGATCAGAAGTAAATTTTCGGACGCTAAGTGTAGTCTTTTGTTTTCCAGATTTCTAAGATCTGGAAAGCAAAGCTAAAATAACAATTCGCTGCTCTTAAGATGGATTCGTATTTACTCAGGTTTGCTTAGCCTGACGCAAACCCACAAGAGAGAATCTATCTTGCTTTAAGATCTTCTTCTTCTTCTTCTATGTACCATGTTCTTTCAGGAAATTGGCGATTACGGCTCTCAAAAGATAAGTCTCATCATTTTATTCTTGAAATTACTACATCTATAGGAATTAAATTCTATATATTTTACAACCAATATTTATTTTCCAGGCGTAGCTTAGATTTGGCACAAGGCCGAAAGTAGAGGGTACTCAGTGAGGATCGAACTCACTATTCAGTCGTAATTGTTCTAGCGAGACAAGCTTGCATACCATTACACCGCCACGAAGTGCCCTATTTTACAACCAATAAAATCCCATCAGAAGGTTAGTTTGATAAACAATCATTACAAAGACCAATACCGGCAAAATACATGCGGACGTAATTGTAAGAATACCACGTGTTATTTTTGGACTGTTTAAAAAATAACAATAATAACTCCTTTCATTACTCCTTCAAATTCGAGAGAAAGATTTTCACGAGCTAGTGTGAAATTATTTTCTAACCAATGAAAACCTTGTATTCAAAAAGTTCACGCCTCTATTTTGAATCTCCTTACGGATATAAAAATAGAAGCATACTGCTTCTCGGGGTGCAAAACACTTTCATATGCCAGTTTGACTTACACGCACCTACACACACACAGAAAAAGGAAGAGAGAGCGAGCAACCGCAATAGAGGGGATTATCCAGCAACGCCGACTAAACCTTTTGTTTATGAACTCACAAAGGCAATAGGTTGACAGTCATAAAGTATGTCTGTACAAACATTTCCCATTGGAACAGCAAGCTTAATTACTTTATAAAACAAGGTTTACTTTTCTATTTTTCCTCCAGTATATAAGCTTTTATATGTTTCATTAAAAGATGTGTTCCTATTGTTGTTGTTGTTGTTGAATGAGTGACATCCCGACATTCAGATAGCAACTAAATCTTGGGTAGACAAATCCCAACACATTTATGCTAACATTTTCTTCTCTCGCTTGTGGAACTCTCTTCCGTATTTTTGCCTTACTGCCAAATTCTTCTTCTTCACAACTTCCTGTTCTTTGTAAAATATTTCGAAATTTATCTTTCTGCTACCTTTCCGAAACACTTTTCTGTCAACCATTTGCACAAGCCACTTCTTCTTCTTCTTCTTCTTCTTCTTCTTCTACTACTACTTCCTCTTCTTCCTCTTCCTCTTCTTCTTCATCCTCTTCTTCTTCTTCCTTATCTTCTTCTTTCTCTTCTTTTTCTTCTTCTTCCTCTTCTCCCTCTTCTTCTTATTCTTCCTCTTCTTCTTCCTCTTCTTCTTCTTCTTCTTCTTTAGTGCCGTGTCCGTTCGGGACGTTGTCGATCATAGCATTCCAAAATGTCCTTTCCTTTATAGATCTTAGTAAATGTTGTCCTTTTGTTGTCTCTCCTTAATCCAGTTCTGCCAAATATTTACATAAGCTCCTAATTCTTCTTCTTCTTTTTCTTCTTCTTCTTCTTCTTCTTTAGTGTCGTGTTCTTTCAAGACGTTGTCAATCTTAGCTCTCTACAATTTCCTTTCCTTTATAGATCTTAGGAAAGTTTGTCTTTATGCTATGTCTCCTAAACACTGACAAATATTTTCAAAGCCTGTTCGGCAAAATATTTACACAAGCTTCTTCTTCTTCTTCTTCTTCTTCTTCGTGCTGTGTCCCTTCAGGACATTGGTGATCATGCCTCTCCAAAATTTCCTGTCCTTTATAGATGTTTTCTATCTCTCCTAAACCCTGTTCTTCCAAACATTTTTTGTGATGTCAACGAACACTCGTTGCCACTTTTGTAATGCCAACGAATACTCATTGTCACTTTCGTAATGCTCCTTGTAGTAGAGACTTTGTAATCGCAGATACAACTATAGTAAAACCGGTGAACAATACTGGTGTCAGACGCCTTCGAATATCACTTGCAGTAATAATACTTGCTCGATAATACTCGTTTGAATAGTAATCCGTATAGTGATCTGAATAGAGAAATAGTATAGTGAATAGAGTAGAGAATAGCGGTCCTTATAGTAATAGAGGATAGAATAGAAATGCGATCCGAATAATATAGAGGATAGACTAGAAATAACGATCAATTAGACACGCTATTACGTACTTATGTGTTTCTCCTATTTAACGTGGCCTACTTAATTCAATAATGGGATCGCCTGTGTTTGCTCACTGGCGATCTAAGTTCAAACTCAAGTGTCGGCAGCGACACTTTATAACACGTTTACACAAGCTCCTCCTCCTCCTCCTCCTTCTTCTTCTTCTTCTTCTTCTTCTTTGTACCCTGTCCCTTCAGGGCGTTGGAGACCATGACTCTCTTTTATAACTCTAGGTAAATTTTGTCTTTTTGCTAATCTCTTCTAAGCACTTTTCTGTCCGTTAGATAACTAATGTGCTGTTTTCCTCTGTCCCTCTCGCCTTGAATTTGTCATGTGAGTGTATTTCTTTGGTTTTTTCTCTTTTTTTAGTTCGAATTCCTCAGAGCTGCCAGTTCCAAGTCATTTCTTCATTGTGCTGTCAAAATGTCGAGAAAAGAAAGCTACTAATTTCACCGAATGCTTAATAGAAGATAAACTGGAAATTTTATCGTTCGTTCTTCCTCATCGACAGAAAATCGACAATTGCATGGTAAGTACTTTGCCCTTTCTGTCAATCGCTGTGAAATCGATATTCCTAATGGTCTGTTACTGCAGCAAAGCTTTCTTCCTAAAATGACCTTTGTGAAACCCAACCTTCAAGATCTAGTTAATATGATATTCTGATACTGCAAAGAATTGATTTAAACTAAAGCTTGGGATTTAGATTATGGTAATCGCGTACAATACGATTCCCTCTTTGACACGGTCCTCTAATTCTGGTTTGTATTAACGAGCTGCTCAGGAACGTACACAGATCATTATTAAATATCTATGCAGGTCATCAGAGCCTCGCGGCTGATCTATCTCCTGACCTAGTTTTTTTATCGCTCAATAGATTGTAAGTGATCAACTGGATAGGTGACTTTCAATAGCTCAATAGCCAAGTTAGTATCGCTTAGTCATCACTGTTCAAACCCTGATTTTTCTCCAGTGGCAATGAACGGATCCACTACCAATAAAGTTTCATGCGTTAAACGTCTATTCTTTTTTCAATCGTTTCACCCACCCAAGCAAGGCAAGGCAACATTTCCGCTAGGACTCAGGGAGTTACAAAGAGTGAAAGAGAATGAGAAAACCTTAGTGAGGGGAAGTGGAGAAAAGGTCAATAAAGGAACAGTTTACAGGAAGACAGTTGAAGGCAATTGGCGTTGCATTTAAATCTTTGAAGATTGTAATTGGCAGGGAAGCAAGAAATCAGAAGGGAGTTCCAAAGGCGAGAAAAGAAACCATTAGAAGAAAACTGACGGTTTCATCTGATTAGTTCAACAGTAAAACGATGAGACCTACTTTCCAATCTAGTAGCGCGCTTAAATTCATAGAGTCGAAGCACTAGAGAAACGGGCTCAACTGAACAGTTACCGTGAAATTTCAGTGAAATTTCTAAAATTCTAACCACTAGGCCACTCATCTCTCTCTCTCTCTCTCTCTCTCTCTCTATATATATATATATATATATATATATATATATATATATTCTGTTTATCTGTTACTTTTATAGATACAGTTTATTTGAGTAAATGCTCTGTTTTTTAATTAAACATAAATAATTACATTTAATGACCTGAATGTTCGAGAAATTTCGTAGAAAATCCGCGTTCTCCGACAGGAATCGAACCTGTATTCATATACGGAAACCGTCATTGGTCATCGCTTTTTAACAAAGATTGCCAAAGGGTGAAGGTTGTTAAAAACGCGGTGCCAGGGGGAAAACTATCCTTATGACACTGCGTATTATTGAGGGCATTTTTATTTTTGCTAGAGAAACATTTGAATAATTTTATAATCTTTGTATTAGTAATAGCATTAATAATAATAATAATAATTATTATTATTATTATTATTATTGAAAGGGATTCCTGGAAGCCCATGCCTTAAAGAAATACAAAACATTGTACTCACAATTACAGCTCACACATTACGAAGAATTGCAATATTGTGCAAACATATAACGCTGTACTGAAAACACTGTTAATAAACAATCAACTGAGAAGTATCACAGAAGTAAATAATGTCATAGAGGCAACAGCTACTAAAAAGCTTGGTGTCAAGAGAAAAGGAAAAACAAACAACAGACAAAAAAGCCAGCTTTGAATCGAGAAATGGAGGAAAACAGACGTGAATTATCGATACTAGATGAGATCTCAAGAAACCGAAACGTTTCAAAACGCAAATACAGGAAGATCAAGAGGAGATATAAAATTAAATTACTAAATGAGATTCCTCCAATCTAGGAAATACTTAATCAGAAATTGCAATGAAGGAAACAGAGAAAAAGACGGTATAAAAAGCGTGTGTAGGTTCTATCAACAAAATATTCCACACGGACCTGAAGAAATTTTACAGGGAAACTATAAAAGCAGTTATAGAAGTCAAAAAGCCACCATCTATTGAAAAAAATGCAATAATCTTAGGAGAATATTTGGATCAGCCTAAAGGAATATAATCCCAATGCAGAATGGATCCAACGAGAAGAAAGAATGGGGGATAAACCTCTTCAAGAGTAGGGAAATATAATCAAGAATAATGGTAGACAAGTTCTAACGAAATTCCCCCCACCACCACCAAAAAGAAATTCCTCAGAAAATGACAAGATACCCAATTTTTAGTTCTATCATCTGTCATCAATCTATAAAACACTTGCACAAACTTTATCAACAGCTAATAATCCCATTGAAGTCCCAGGATATTTCATTGAAGGTGTTACATATCTCCTACCAAAAATGGTTGAAACAGATGATCCGAAAACTTATATGCCAGTAACATGTCTGTCCACCACATATAAATTGATCACGTCTGTCCTGACGAAGTGTATTTACTTTTTTCTCGAAGAAAGCAATAGCACAATCTTCACTTAGGACAAAAGGGATGTCAAAGAGGTTCATATGGCTGTAAAGATCAATTATTGATAAACAAAATGATACTGGAAAATTGCAGGAAAAGAGGTAGAAATCTCGTGACGGCATGGCTAGATTACCGTAAAGCCTTTGACAGTGTACCATACTCTTGGATCTTTAAAGCTTTGGAAATGTACAAAGTCTGCTCAGTGATAGCAAATTTCCTTAAACACAGCATGGGAATGTGGAAAACCATATTGTATGTAAATCACACTTAAGGCACTGCCAATTCCAACCTCCTGAATATCCGACGAGGAATCCTTCAAGGAGACACCCTGACACCCCTTCTGTTTTATCTGTCCTTAATCCCCTTTACACATGAACTAAACAATAATAGGTATGGATACAAAGCAAACAAGAAACTATTTAATCACCTACTCTACATGGATGATCTCAAACTCTTTATCAAAGACGACAATGAGTTGAAGGGTCTCCTCTATACTGTAAAATGTTTCAGTGACGACATAGGCATGGATTTCGGATTATATAAATGTGCTAAAGTAACATTCAAGAAAGAGAGAATTACGGAAACACACTCAATAGATCTAGCTTTTGTCAAAAAGATTAGGGAACTAGAACAAGAAGAAGCCTATAGGTCCCTAGGAATTAGCGAAGATAGAATATAGCATATCTAAATGAAAGAGAAAGTAAGAAAAGAATACTACAGACGTGTGCCGAGTTGAATTTAAAAAAAAACAAAAAAAAAACAGAAAAAAACAGATTATCAGCCATAAACACCTTGGCTGTACCTGTGATGCAATACAGTTTACCATAACTGACATTAAACGAATGGGCGCGAAAACGAGAAAGTTTCTCACTTGCCATGGTATACATCATCCCAAGGCTGATGTTAATCGTCGGTATGTTCCCAGATACGAAGGAGGCAGAGGATTAGTTCAGCTATAACTGTCTTACAAGACTACAACAATCGGACAAGCCTTAAAGAAATACAAAAAAATTGTACTCACAAGTAGAGCCCACACCTTACGATTGGCTTTATCTATGTAAAATGCGTATGATCTCAGATTGTTTTTTTTTGGGGGGGGGTCTCAAAAAAGCCCAGTGGTAGTTATTTTCCAAGCGTAGCTTAGATGTGGCAATATAGTGATTTTCAAAGCGTAGCTTAGATGTGGCACAAGGCCGTAAGTATGGGGCACCCAGTGAGGATCGAACTCACTACTCAGTGGTAATTGTTCTAGCGAGACAAGCTCGGTAACCATTACACCATCTCGAAATACCCCCACCAAAAAAAGCCCAGTGGTAAATGTCATAATGTTATTTCTGACCTTAGGTCTCTGGTTGAAACCCCAGAAATCAAGGAAAACATTATAATAATAATAAAATAATAATAATTAATTAATTAATTCAGATTAATTCAAATTTTGTTCACTTATAATTCGGTACCATATTCAAAAAATCTACTTAAATAGATTATTTTTACTTTTTTTAATAATTCCATAATTTTTTCGGCTCTATTCGACTAATTTGTAGCAATGTGAAACATCAGACGACAACAAGGATTATTATTATGAATACTGTAGCTTTTCAAAACTTACGACAGCATTTTGATATTGCAAATACAAATTATTTCTATACAAACTTTATCGACAAATACATATCAATTTTTAAAAAATTGAATTAAAAATAAACAATACACGTGAAATATTTAATAAAATATGCGTATAAAAATGATTATGCAAATTAAACGTTACCGATTGATTACATTGTAGACTCAAGCGGTCGGGTCTGGGCTATTTTGTTTGGTAAACTGGACAGACAGACAAAATATAACCTTACACGAATTTATAAAAGAAGATTTTCGTACTATTTAGGTCATAACTAAAGCAGGTCATTACAAAGCGTCTATGCCTTCATTATTTGATTTTAGTGGATGAAAAGAAAACTAGGACAGATTACATGTTTACGAGAAACTCTGAAAATTACGTTTATACAGGCTTTATTAAATCGTTGTCTTTCATATATGCATTCGAAAACTCCTCCCATGTGTTTTGTAATAAAATAAGTTTATTACCAAAGTAAATATATATATATATATATATATATATATATATATATATATATATATATATATATATAATAAAAAAGGCTTAAACACTAATATTCCATGGTCATAATTTATTCAATTGGAATCATAAATACGATCAATTCATCAGACCTACAAATTCAAAATTCTGTTTTTTTTCTGTTTCCTTTTTTGATATTTGTAGGTCTAATGAAATGGATCGTATTATTCAATGGAATAAATTATGACCATGGAATATTAAGTTTAAGCCCTTTTATTATATCCTTACTCTGTCCTGGACATTGAGTTCTACCTGAATTCTATCCTCTTGGAATTATTTTTTATACAAATATATATGTATGTGTATATGTATGTATGTATGTATGTATGTATGTATATATATTTATATATTTTAGATATATGATTGCGTATGTATGTGCATATTTACCACTAATATTATCTATCTATCTATCTATCTATATATATATATATATATATATATATATATATATATATATATATATAAGGTATGCTTTATTTATCGCTTAAAGTGCTCAATATCAGGGATAGATC